TGCGCCGCGAACGGTGAGGCGGCCGCGGCGGCGGACGTGCGTGCCCTGCGGCGCGACCTGGACCACGCCGACGAGTGGCGCGGCCTGGCCGCGGCCTACGCGCTCGGCGCCGCGGGGACTGCCGGCGCCCCCGCGCTGCAGGCGGCGCTGACCGGCGGCGATCCCGTGGCGCGGCGGCGCGCCGCCTACGGGTTCGGGCCGCTTGGCCGTGCCGGCATCGGCGACTTGGTGGAGGCTGGCGAGCATGGAGACGCCGAGGTACGCGCGCGCACCGTGGACGTGATCGGTGATGTGGGCCTGGCCGCCGGCGACGCGGTGCCGGCGCTCAGCGCGTGGCTGCGGGACGAGGCGACCGACGTGCGTGCGCTTGCCGCCGACGCGCTGGGGATCGCCGGGCAGGGCCGCACCGCGGCCGGGGAGGCGGTCGCCGGCCGCGCCGCCCTTGGCTTGACCACGGCCATGGAGGATGCGGACGCGGTCGTGCGTCGTAACGCCGCGCTGTCCCTGGCGCGCCTGGGATCCGCTGCGGGGGGCGCGGTGCCGGCGCTGGAGCGCGCCTTGGCCGAGGATGATCACTACGTGCGCGGCTATGCCGTGCAGGCGCTGCGCCGCATCGCCACGCCGCGGGCGACGACGGCGCTCCTGAACCATCTGGAGACCGCTCGCTGGGACCCGCGGCAGGACGCCCTGGCCGCCGGCGCCGCGTGAGCGCCGTCTGAGGAGCCTCGCGCCCGCGGCGACGGACCTGTCGCATCACATCATCACCAACCGGCGCGTACGGCCGGACGGCCGGATGGACGCGCGGCACTGGACGCCGGACCCCACGGGTGCGATCCGCCACGTGGCGGTGCCGGTCGCGGCGCTGGGGCGGCGCGACCATCGGCCCGTGCCGGTGGTCACCGATCGTCTGTGCGCGGCCGTGCGCGCGGATCTGCGACAGGGGGACGACGCTCACCGCGACGTGCTGTTCTTCATCCACGGCCACCGCCTGTCGCTGCCGGGGCTGCGGCTGGGGCTGCTGCGCGAGCTTCACGACCGGTATGTCGGCGGGCCGCGGGGGCCGGTCGGGGTGATCGTCTTCTTCTCGTGGCCGGACCGCGGCTGGCCGTGGTCGGAGGATGACGAAGCCTACCGGGCCGGCCGCGCCTTCTTCGCTCAGGGGTCGGGGTGCTGGCCGCGCTGCGCGAGGCCGCCGGCGGCCGCCTGCATCTGCTGGTGCAGTCATTCGGCCATCACCTGCTGGCCGGGATGGTGGCTCAGGCCGTCGCGGAGCAGCACGACGCGCCGCCGTTTCGCACCTGCCTGCTGGTCGGGCGCCGACGTGCCGCAGGAGGCGATCGGCGCCGGCGGCGCCAGGGTGAGCAGCCGGGGCGATGCCGGCCGGAGCTACCGGTTCGACCGGATGGACCGGCTCGGCGAGCGGACGGTGGTCTACTACGACCCGCGCGACCGGATCCTGCCGGGCTCACGGACGCTGATGATGAACCGCTACCCGCGCCTGGGGCGGCTCGGCTGCGCCGGCTTGCAGGTGCCCGCCCACATCACCTGTGAGGACGTCAGCGGGGCCGGCGACCTGCCGGTCCGGCCGCTGGCGCGGCACCGGTATTTCATCACCTCGCGCGCGGTCGTGGCGATCATCGCCGCTCAGATCCGCTCCTGAGCCGCATCCTCCGCCCATGCCCGGTGGCGGGCATAGCTGTGCCTGAACTCGCGGGTGGCCGCGAACGCCGGCGGCAGCGGCCGGCCGCCGGGCAGGCTGAGCCACAGGCGCAGCATCAGCCGGCCCGCGTCGTCGCCGGAGTCCGCGAAGGCGGAGCGGGCGTGCAGCACGTCGTAGTTGTTGGCGATGAGCACCTCGCCGGGCCGCATCGCGAACTCGAGGGCCAGCTCGTCGCAAACCTCGTCCAGCAGGTCGAGCGCCGACCGCTGCGCACCGGTGAGCGGCGGCACCTCCGCGAAGCGCTGGGCGGAGTCGATGTACTGCCGCTTGTAGAGCGTGCAGAGCCGTCCGCGGTGGAAGTTGAAAATCGGCACCGACTGGTACGCGGGTTCGCCGTCGGCCTGCTGCCCGCGCAGGTCGAAGTGGAACGGCTGCTGCAGGGCCAGCGCCAGCTCCGGTGCGCCGCGCACGATCCGGTTGAAGGCGGCGACGCTGCTGACAATGCGGCTCCGCCCGCCGCGGGCGGCCGTGCGCACGCACAGCAGCATGAAGACGTCGGCGCCGTCGTTGTGGAAGCCCAGGTCGCGGCTGGTCTGGAAGTAGCGGACGTCGTCGTCGCCGATGTCGCGGCCGGTGTCCTGCACGCGGTGCAGGAGCAGCCGGTCGCGGTCCTGCGGCTCGGCGGTGCCGAGGTGGGTGCCCAGCCCCCAGAGCAGCAACTCCAGCTTCCGGTCGGGGTGCTGCCCCACCGGGAAGCCGCGCAACAGCACGACGCCGCGGCCGCCTTCGAGTCGCCGCCCGATGTCGGCGCAGACGCCGGCCAGGGTAGGCAGCGGGAAGTCGCGGCGTGTCACGGCAAAGGGGATCCGGCCGCCGGCCGCTCGACGTTCGGCGGACGCTCCCGCCGCGGTCAGTTCGCCCGTGTGCTGCGGCGTCAGCGCGATCACCCAGTCGTCGCTGCCCGCCAACTCCGCTCCGTGCCACGCCGCCGCAGTCGGCAGGGCTGTGCGCAGGTACTCGCCGTCGTGGAGATCCCTGTCGGTCATCACCCTATCCTCGCTTCCGATGTCTCCAGCACCAGCACCCAGTCCTGGATGATCGGCGGCCGCGGCGGCTGCCAGCGGCCCTCACCATCCGCCGCGGCCATGCCGGCGTCGTGCTCGCGGCCGCGGCGCGGGTCGAACCAGGTGGCCCGGTAGCGTGCGTCCGGCTCGATCCCGCAGACCGTGACGATACAGCGCGTCGGGATGAAGATCACCCGCACCTCGCCCGGGATGCCGGCGGCAAGCGGTCTGAGCGCGCCCGCGAGCGGTTCGTAGTAATGCCCGCCGACCCAGGTGATCCACTCGCCATGCGGCCGGAAGCGCCACCAGCGATAGCGTTCGAGCAGCCGCTTGCCCAGTCCCACCTGCGTGGAGCCCGCAAACCCCATCGCCACGTCCCATGGGTCGTCGTCGAACGAATCGCCGAACACCCGCGGGTCGTGGCCGAACGGAGCGTCGCGGGTGTTCACCTGCCAGATGCCGCTGGCGCCGTAGGTGTGGCCGGCGGTGCCGCGGAGCATCGACCCCCAGAACAGCAGGCGCTGCACGTTCTCCCAGTTCCAGCCCCCTTCGCCCTCGTAGCAGCCCTCGCCGAGCAGCCGCGGCAGGCGCGGGGCGGCGTCGAGCCGGCTGTCGAGCTCCTGCATGACCCCCGCTGCCGTGACCAGGTCGTGGAGGCCGCACTGCGCCATGTCGAGGTCGAGCAGCGACGCGTCCTCCACCAGGTCGAGCGACCAGCCGCCGGAGCTGGGATGGATGGAGACCGGGCGCCGGTACGGATCGGCGGACCGCACGTAGCGGGTGATCGCGGTCCATTCCGCGCGAGCCCGGTCCTGGTGCCTGAGCAGCGGCTCGGAAGTCGGTGCGGAGCGCGCGATCCGGGCGCGGTACAGGTCGCCCCAGAGCTCCGAGGTGTAGAACGGCATGAGCGCCTCGCCCGCGATGCACCACACGACCGGATAGGCGCCGTAGCGGGCGATGAGGTTGCGCCAGTGCCGCCGCAGCACGCCGGCGCCCGCGAACTGCATGAAGTAGCCCCAGGAGCCGACGATGGCCGGCACCATGCCCAGTTCGACCAGATGTGCGATGCGCCGGTCGGCCGCGTCGAACCAGGCGGGATTGAGGCTGCCGAAACCTTCGCTCCAGGGAAAGCCGGCCTCGTTTGCGCCGCGCGGATCGAACGGCGGCATGTCCGGGTAGAGGCCGGCGACCAGCAGCACCACCGTAAAGCCCTTGCCGGCACGGTCGGCGGCGAGCCGCTGGAATCCCTCGGGCCAGTCCAGACGCCCCACCAGCCCCATCCACCAGGTGTCGGCCAGCCACAGGAACGGCGTCCCGTCGGCGTGCTCCAGGTGCCGGGCGCCCGCTGTCATGCGGCGCAGCGGTCCGTGCCGGAAGAGCGGGTTGCCGTCATCGGCGCCGGGCTCGACTTCGATGACGCCGGTGCGGCCGTGCAGCGCGAAGGATCGGTGGGGTCCGAACAGCGGGTGACGAACCGATGCCGGCCGACCGCCGCAGAGGCATAGCGCACGCCCCACCGGCCCTCGCCAGCCTGGAATGCCGGCACGGTCAGCTCCTGGCCGGCCGGATCGGTGATCAGAACGTCCAGCTCGATCGGGGCGCAACCCGCGTGCCTGCGGTCCGAGGCGTACTCCCAGGCGCATACCCGGTTCTGCGTGGTACGGAGAGGACCGTTCACGTCAGAAGATCTCGGGGCCATCGTCGGGTGCCCCATCGTCCGGGGGCCCATCGCCGACAGCGGACGACAAGCACGTCGATCGAGTCGGGCTGGCGGCCGATCTCCACCACGCGGTTGACCCTGACCTGGCCGCAGCGGCCGCAGCGGTGCACGATCTGCATCCGGCGGCCGTGGGGCCGCAAGCCGATCGGTCTGCTCAGGCTCGCGCAGCGGCTGTGGCGCGCGCATGCTCCGCTGCGACGCAGCAGAGATCTATCTTTTCCCCTATAGGACAGAGAAGCAAAGCAGGGTGACCCCGGTAGCTGCCGTACGAGTCGACGGCTGAGGGACCGGTACGGCGGCCGCAGCGCAGGCATTGAAAAGGAGTATTCTCCGTTCTGCGGCTCATCGCAGCGGCCCCTCGCGTTGCCGACCGGTATCCTCGGAAGCCGATTCCGGAGCGCCTGAGCGGAATCGAACCGCCATCTCAAGCTTGGAAGGCTTGGGTATTGACCTTTATACGACAGGCGCGTGGTCGGAGCACGGTAGGGCCGCCCGGTGCGCCTGTCAACGTCGTGCGCCGGCGTGGTACCATTACGCCGTGGGTCAACGAGGCGAGCTGTTTTCGAGCCGAACGACGGTCGGCAATCGCACCTATTTCTTCAACGTGAAAGAGAACCGGACGGGCGACGTCTTCCTCAACGTGGTGGAGAGCAAGAAGCGCGGGGGCGAGACCGATTTCGAACGCCATTCGATCATCATCTTCGAAGAGGACATGGCCGGATTCCTGGCCAGCTTCGACAAGGCGATTGCTTTCATTCGCGCCCGCGAGCAGACCCGCCGGGGCTGAGCGGACGAGTCCGGCACCCGGCCGGCTCCCGGATCCCCGGTGAGCGAGTCGCGCGCACGACCGTTGGCGCCCCCCTTCGACCCGTCCGACACGCGCTTCGCCTTCTTCTGGTACAACGATCAGGAGATCTTTCACGACACCGCGGCCGACTTGGCGCGCAAGGCGGAGGCGTTCGCGGATGTCGGCATCAACCACGTCATCACCTTCAGCGCCACCCACTTCCGCTGGTCCTTTCGCCGCCACTGGGACCTGCTGACCGATACCCTGGCGCGCGTCGTGACCGCCTGCCACGCCGTCGGCATTCGCGTGACCGAGCACCATTCGAGCCACCTCACGCACAACCCGGTCGACGCAGCGGGCGAACGGCTGCTGGAGGAACGGCTCCGCACGCGCGGGTCGAGCCTGGAGTCATGGCCCCACCTGCGCGAGGACTGCGACGCCGACCCGGTCATCGACGGCGTGCCGCTGTCGAGCTGGCGCCAGATCGACGGCCGCACCGGCAGGTGGGCGCGCTCGGCCTACCCGGGCCGCTACGACTATCAGGGCTGGACGTTCTGTTTCAACAATCCCCACTACCGGCGCGCCTACCTGGCCTATCTGGCGAAGCTGTACGCGACAGGCATCGACGGCATCATGACCGACGATGTCGAGTGGTTCGGCGCCGGCCACGCCTGCGCCTGTGCCATCTGCCGCGCGCTGTTCCGGGAACAGAGCGGTCACGATCTCCCGGAGCCCGGGCCCGCCTGGGAGCGCTGGCACGGCGACCACGGCGATCCGGCCTACGTCGCCTGGCTGCGGTTTCGGACGTCCTCCACCACGGCCTTTCACCAGGCGGTCAAGGACCACTACACCGGGCTCGGCATCCGCCCGCTGCGACCCAACTACAGCGAGCGAGTGCTGCACCGGGACCCCCACGGCGTGTCGCTGGAAGACCTGCCCGACCTCGACTGGATCTTCAAGGAGAACGACTACTCCACGATCGTTCGCTACTCCTGGTGCAGTTGGGCGATCGAGGCGGCCCATCGGTACGCCGTCGGCCGCTGGCGCGACATCCCGCCGATGAGCATGTTCTACCCCGACCGTCCGGATAGCGTGCGATTCTGCTGGGGCCTGGCGATGAGCTGGGGCCACCTGTACCTGGCGACACCGGAGGGCGAGTCCCTCGATCACACCGAGAAGCGGCTGCGCCGCTTCGAGGTCGCCCACCCCGAGCTGCTGCGCCGGGTGCAGCGGGTGGCATCGCTGGGCCGATTCTACGACTCGCGCGCCACCCGCCACCTGTACGAGCACGCCGAAGAGCGGAAGTCTGGCCGGGTTGATCGCCTGGGCGCAGGCGTGTTACCGGCGCAACCTGCCCTTCGACCTGTTTCAGCCCGAAGAGCTCTCCCGGCTGCCGCGGTACCGCGTGGTGGTCCTCAACGAGGCGGTCTTCCTCAGCGACGCCGAGCTCGAGGCGCTGCGCAGGTTCGTGCAAGCCGCGGACGTTGGTGTGGACCGGCGCCACCGGCAGCAACGACGAGACCGGCGCGGGTCGCGACGCCGCAGTCCTCGGCCGCTTCTGGGGGATCGACTCCTTCGCAGCAGTGCCCGACGGCGCTCCGCCGGTGACCACCCGAATCGGCGCCGGCCGGCTGGTCCAGGTGGCCGGCGACTACGCGCTGGAGCCGGTGGAACGGATCGCCCGTCCTGTCGGCGGCGGCCGTAGGACGCGTCTGCCGTGGCAGCCGGTTTCGGCCGCGCACGAGCGCCTGCGGGATGAGCTGGTCGCGTTCCTGGGCGGCCTGGCGGGCGGGGCCGACCTGCAGCTCGACAACCTGCCCGCCGGCGTGCTGGCGACGGTCTTCGCCACCGAGAGCGGTGACTCCCTGGTGGTCCATCTGGTGAACGCGGCGCAGACCCTGGCGGTGAACGGGAGCGAGCATCGGCCACGACGACCCCATCCCGGTTCCGCGGTTCGGGGGCGAGCCGGTCGGCATCACGCTGCGAATGCCGGCGGCGTTATCGGGGCGTTCGGTGCGTCAGGCGCGCTATCACGACCCGGATGTGGCCGCAGCCCGCTCCGTTGCGGTAGAGGCCGAGGCCGGCCGGGTCGCGGTCACCCTGGATCCGGCCTGGATCGGCGCCTACGGCCTGGTTCAGATCGAGCTCGATTAGCACAGCTTGAAGCTGCGGCGATGGATCGGCGATGGTCCGTGCAGCCGCAGCCGCTCCCGGTGGCTGCGCGTGGCGTACCCGAAGTGCGACTCGAAGCCGTAGCGGTCGTCGATGCGGGCGTACCGGACCATCCAGCGGTCACGCGCCGTCTTGGCCAGGATCGACGCCGCCATGATCTCCGGGATGCGGGCGTCGCCGTCGATCTCGGCCCGGCACGGCGCGCCCACCGCCAGCGCGAAGCGGCCGTCGACCAGCACCAGGCCGGGCGTGACATCCAGCCCGCGGAAGGCACGCACCATCGCCAGCAGCGTCGCGTGGTGGATATTGATGCGGTCGATCTCCTCCGGCCATGCCCAGCCGACGGCCCACGCCCGCGAGTGTTCGCGGATCAGCGGCGCCAGCTCTTCGCGGGTCTGCGGGTGCACTACCTTGGAGTCGTCCAGACGTTCGTCCGGAAAACGCCCGCCCAGGATCACCGCCGCAGCGGTGACCGGTCCTGCCAGCGGCCCTCGTCCCGCCTCGTCGATTCCGCAGACGATCGTTGCCCCCTCGCGTTTGACGCTCGTCGGCGCGATGGTAACGTCGCGCGCGCAAGCCCACAACGCGTGCGTTGCGCTCGCATCATGAGCAGGCAGCTACTGAAGCGGGTCGAGCTCCTCGGCTTCAAGTCCTTTGCCGATCGCACGGTTCTGGAGTTCGGCCCCCCGTGTATCGCGCTGGTCGGACCCAACGGCTGCGGCAAGAGCAACATCGTGGACGCATCCGCTGGGCGTTGGGCGAGCAGGCGCCCCGCTCGCTGCGCGCGGAGCGCATGGAGGACGTGATCTTCGACGGCGCCGGCAGCCGCCGGTCGATGAGCGTGTCCGAGGTGACGCTGGTGTTCTCCAATGAGGACGAGCGGCTGCCGATCGCGTCCGCGGAGGTCGGCGTGAAGCGCCGCCTGTATCGATCCGGCGAGAGTCAGTACTTCGTCAACGGCACGCAGAGCCGGCTGCGCGACGTGCGCGAGCTGCTCGCCGATACCGGCCTGGCCACCTCCGGCTACGCCTCGCTGGAGCAGGGAAAGATCGACCGCGTCCTCTCGGATAAACCGGAAGAGCGCCGCGCGGTGTTCGAAGAGGCGGCCGGCATCCTGTCCTACCGCACCCGCGCTGTCGAAGCCGAACGGGAATTGAAGCAGGCGGCCGCCAACGTGGCCCAGGTGGAGAACGTCCGGCGCGAGGTGCAACGCCGCCACGAGACGCTGCGCGTGCAGGCGCAGGCGGCGGAGCGCTACCGCTCCCTGCGCGCACAGGCGTTCGATGTGGAACGCGATCTGGAGCTGCTGCGTCTGCGTGCGCTGCGGGAGCGCCGGCAGCGTATCCAGAGCCGGCTGTCCCGCGAGACGGAAACGCGGGACAAGGTCCAGCGCGAGATCGATACAGCCGCGGTCAGCACCCGGGAGCATCGGGCCGAGATCGAGCGTCTGGAGGGTGAGCGTGCGACCTCTCAGGAACGGTTGTACGAGCTCGCGACGGCAATGAGCGGGGCCGGCAGCGAGATCCGGCTCGGCCGCGAGCGCGTGGATGAGCTGGAAGCCAGCATGCATTCGTACCAGAGCCGCGACCACGCGCTCGCGGATCGCATCCGCTCCCTGGAGACCGAGGCTGAAACTGTTCGCACCGGATTGGCCGCAGCCGAACAGGGCGCTGCCGACGCGGAACGCAAAGCGGCTGACGCACGCGGCGATGCGGCCGCGGTGGGCGCGAAGATCTCCGAAACGGAGCGGCTCATCGCTGATGCCTCCGTTCAGACGGCATCCCACGAACAGCGCCTGGACGGCTTGCGCGACCGGCTTCGCAAGGTCACGGACGAGATCGTCACCGAGCTCGATCAGCGTCTGGGTCAGGGCATGCAGTCCACCCCGTCGGCCGCGCTCGGCAACGACGTGGCGGAATCGCTGGCACGGCTTCACCACGACATCGGCCGACTGGCGGCATCCGCGACGGGGATCGCCAAGGAGGAGCTTGCGCGTCGGCTCGGCGAACTGGTGGAGATGGCCGAGGGGTTGATGGAGCGGTTCGCGCGCTATCGCGAGACGACCGGATCGCTGCTCGAGGAGTTGATCTCCTCGGAGGGGATCGTTACCCACAAGCGGGCAATCGACCGTGACATGGGGGAGACCCTCTGGGCGATCGCGGAACTCCGCAAGCAGACCGAGGAGCTGCGACGGAGCAATCGCGAACGCGCGGATCGGTTGGGCGAGTTGCGCGATGCGGTCCAGGAGAGCCAGGTGGCTGCGGCGCGCGCACAGGAACAAGCCGCGTCGTTGCGCAGACAGCTCGTAGCCTCGCAGCGGCAGCTCGACGAGCAGCGGCAGATCCGCGCGGATCTGGCCGCGGAGGAGCACCAGACCGCGGAGGCGATCCGCGCGCTGGCTTCCAGCACCTCCGATCGCGAACGGGAGAAGGTACTCCTCGACCGGGAGCACGAACGGCTGCAGAAGGATCTGGGACGCCGGACGGCGCAGGTCGCCACGCATCGCCGCGAGCTGGATCGGATCGACCAGGCCGCGCAGCAGCGTCTCCTGCGCCTGCGGCAGGCGCAGGAGACGCTGGAGCGGGTCCGTGTCGAGCTTGCCGAGGTGGAGGCGGAAGACAAGGCGATCCGCCATACCTTCGCGCACACCCACTCCCAGCGCCTGGAGGAGCACTCCGAGCGGCTGGAACGGATCGAGGCCACGCCGCGTGAGTTGCGCGACCGCCTCGGCCGGCTGCGGGAACGGATTCGCGGTCTGGGTCAGGTCAACCTGCTCGCACCGGAGGACTTCAAGGAGGTGGCCGAACGTTTCCAGTTCCTGACGGATCAGCTCGAGGACCTGAGTCAGGCGCGCACGGACCTGGAACGGGTGACCGCCGAAATTCAGCGCGAGTCGGCCGAGCGGTTCGACGTCTCCTTTCAGGCCATCGCGGACGCGTTCCGCGACATCTTCCGCCGGCTCTTCGGCGGCGGTCGCGCCGAATTGCGGCTCCGCGGGCAGGAGGTGCTGGAGGCCGGCGTCGACATCCTGGCCCAGCCGCCCGGCCGCAAGCTGGAGAACGTCGGGCTGCTGTCGGGAGGGGAGCGCTCGCTGACGGCGGTGGCGCTGATGTTCGCCATGTACTCGGTCAAGCCGTCACCGTTCTGCGTGCTCGACGAGCTGGATGCCGCGTTGGATGACGAGAACATCGGCCGTTTCGTGGGGCTCATGGAGGAGTTCGCGCACGACTCGCAGTTCCTGATCGTGACCCACAACAAGCGCACCATCGCCGCGGCCGCGAACCTGTACGGCGTCACCATGGAGGAGCCCGGAGTCTCCAAGCTGGTGACCCTGCGCCTGCCCGAGCGCGCGGAGCCCGAGCCGGTACCCGCATAAGGTACCCGCATAGGGTACGGACAGCGATTGCCGCGTCGTCTGCAGGTGTGGGTCGAATTGCCAGCGGCAGCCCACGGCCCTATCATCAACGAGGCGGAAGACACAGCAGATGAGTGACCACAGCAGATGAGTGACAAGGAACGGAACGAACCCCAGGAACCTGAGGACACGCAATCGCACGATTCGCAGGAGTCGGCCGGTCAGGAGCAATCCCGCGAGCGGTTCTGGCAGGGTGTGAGCGTCCCGGATCTGGTCAAGCAGCGTATCGATGTCATCAAGGCGCAGCAGAGCCCCGGCCGCAAGCTGCTCATGACGATGCGCAAGTTCTACGCGATCGTGCCCATCGCGGCATTCATCTTTTTCTTCCTTACCAATCCCACGTTTCAGAACGCGGTGCTGGCCGTCATGCAGGTTCTGTTGCAGCTCCTGTTTGCGATCTTCTACGCGATCATCCAGTTCGTCGCCATCTTCTGGTTCATGGCCCGATCGAAAGTGGAGAAGGTGCGGCCGACGGATCCCAAGTCGATCACCTTCGACGACTATTGGGGGCAGCCCAACCTGAAGGCGCTGGTGCGACAGTGGCTGGGCCTGCTGGCCGACCGCAAGGAGTTCGTGCAAATGGGCGGCCGCTACATCAACGGCCTGCTGCTCTACGGTCCGCCGGGCACCGGCAAGACCATGCTCGCCAAGGCGATGGCCGGAGAGGCCGGGGTCGCGTTCATCTCCATAGAAGGCTCCGGATTCCGGGCGATGTTCGTGGGTGTGGACGTTCTGAAGATGATCTGGTTCATACGCAAGGCGCGCAAGTACGCGCGTCGCTACGGTGCCTGCATCGCCTATATCGATGAGATCGACGCGGTCGGTCAGTCTCGCGGTAACGTCCAGGGCTCCAACGGCGCCATGGGTGGGATGGGCGGCATGATGGGTGGCGGCACCGGCGCCCTGACCCGGCTGCTGTATGAGATGGACGGCGTCGATCAGCGCTCCCTCATGGAGCGAATGGTCGCCAAGCTCTATCAGCTTCGCGGCAAGAAGCCGCCTGGCCGCAACTGGCACGTGCTGTTCATGGGTTCCACCAACCGCCCCGACGTCCTGGATCCGGCGCTGACCGCCCGGGGCGCTTCGATCAGATGATCGAGGTGGGACTCCCCGATCGCTCCGGCCGGCGCGCCATCGTCGAGGGCTACCTGTCGACCATCCGCCACGACGACTCGGTCGACGTGGAGGCGATCGTGTCCAACACCCCGGGCGCCTCACCTGCGCAGATGATGGCGGCGCTGACCAAGGACACGGTGCGCATCGCCCTGTTCGAGCACCGCAACGTGGTCACGCAACGGGACATCGACCGCGCGCTGATCCATCAGTTGGCCGGCATGGAGAACCCGATCGAGGAGATGGAGCCTGAGCAGCGGCGCTCCATCGCAGTGCACGAGGCGGGCCACGCCGTAGTGGTCCACTATGTGCTGCCGGAGAAGCGGATCGGCCACCTGACCATCCTGGCGCGCGGCCAGACGCTCGGCTTCATGCTGCCGCTCGACGAGGTGGAGCAGTACTCGTATCCGCTGCGCCGGATCGTGGCCGACATCATGGTCGCCTTGGGCGGACACGCCGCCGTGCGCATCATCTACGGCGAGGAGTGGACCGGCGCCTACAGCGACTATCGTCAGCCGACCGCTTCCGGCTCTTTGTTTACACGCTCGCACTCTCGGCCGCGCCGACGGATGTGAGACGACATCGTGCGACGGGCTGGGCCTGCTCCCTAACCACGCACTGCGCGAGCGTCAACGGCGCTGGGCATGACCTGGAGGATCGGACCACGAGCGGTTGCACGGTACGTACTCGACTCGATCATCGGGACGAGCTGACGTCCCTCACCGACGCCCTGCGAACGCAGCGAGCTCAATACCGGGGAGGTGCTGGAGATCCTCGGCCCGAACGGCCACAACGGTACCGGGCATGGACCGAACGGTCATGACGCATCCACGAACAAATGACCCGTACCAGAGCGGTCAGGCTGGACGCGGGCCCGACCCGACGCCCGGTCTGCCCGAGCCACCGCCGCCCGGTCTCGGGTTGGGCACAACGAATAGCACCGACTAGCGGGGTGGTCAACGGGTGGGCGTACGGGACCCGTCGGAGCCTCCATTCATCGGATCGACCAGGCTCCCAGGTCGCCGCGGGTGACGAAGCGCGGCTTGAGGTTTCCGGACGCCGATCCAGGTAGATGCCCGGGAAGCCGCCGCGGGCTACCGCGGAAAAGACCAGCCAGTTGCCGTCCGGCGACCAGATGCTCCCGGAGCGGTTGTACTGATCGAAACTTGCATGTTGATTATGGCTCCCTCGGTGATCGTGAATGTGCACGTTCCAGGAGTCCCCGGAGCGGACGTCCATCACCTGCAGGTGCACGTAGAGCTGCTCCGGATCGGCGGCAAACACCGGCTCAACCAGCAGTTGCTGCAGCTCCGCCGGGCTCACCAGTATCAGGTAGGCGATTTGCCGGCTGTTGGGAGCCCAGAAGAAGGGATCACCGACGGGTGTCAGCTAAAAGGAAAAAGAAAAAAGCGGAATAAACGTTCCGAGCGGCGCGTCACCAGGACGCGCAGCGTCCCGTCGGCCGAGAGCTGCGGAGTCGGCGATTCCATGACGGCGACGCGGCGCCCGTCGCGTGAGAAGCTGAAGAAGGCGCTGCCGGAGACGGTCTTGAGCACGTCCAGCCCCGGCCCCTCGATGTCCGCGCAGCACGAGCTGGGCCGATCCCGACTCACTGTCCACGTACAGCATGCGCTGGCCGTCCGGAGACACCTGCGGCGACTGGAAGCGGGTCGGGCTTACGTTGAAGTTGCGTTTTCTGGGTTCCGTCACGGATGTCCAGCAGCGTGAGCCGGCCGCCCGACGCCGTGCCGCCGCCGACATGGGCCAGCATGAAGCGATTGGCGGGATCCCAGCCCAGTACAGCGGCAGCCCGGTATCGAGCGGCTTGTAGCTCAGCTTGCGGCGGGGTCCACCAGCCCCAGCTCCATGCCGTCTTCGGCGCTGCGCTGCGACAGTACGCTGATCCAGCGGCTGTCCGTGGACCAGTACAGATACACCGGCGCAAGCTCGCCGCTCTCCCACACCACCCGGGGATTGCGCGAGTTCCGCTGCACGTCGTGCTGAGGATGGCTCCTCGTGCGGCTCGGCCCGCGAGCTGCTCGACAGCGGACACGGGGCAAGGCGGCGGCCCCGTGCCGACCACGTGGGCGACGTATACCAGCGCCTGACCCCTTCGCGGCTGCCGGCGTCGGCGGTGAGCTGCGTGACGCCGCCGCCGGTCTGGTCGGCCGTCTCGATGTTCCCGTCCAGCCCGATGAACGCGATCAGCCAGCCCCACGTGCGCTCGAGCGCTCTCCAGCATGAGTCTCTGGCTCATCTGCGCGCCGCGCACGGAGCAGGAGAAGACAGCCGCGTGGCTCCCCAGCGGAGCACCACAGTCGCGTGCCGACTGCGTCGTCGCGCGCGCTCGAGTCGCGACGAATCCTCACGGCATGACCAGAACCCTATCAGCCCCGGCGCCATCTTGCGCGGCACCAGGTTGCCCGCCGCCCGCGCCACCATGATGTACGGACCGGCATCGGTGAGCGCCGAGTACACGATGTTGCGGCTGTCCGGGGACCAGATCCGCGCGGCCTGACCATACTGGTCGAACACGCGGATCACCGCCGCGAACTGCGGCGTGGGCACGAACGTCTCGATGTCCACCGACGCGCGCCGCTCGCGGTCATAGATGCGCAGCGTCAGGACCAGCGCCTGGTCGCTGCCTTCGTTCTGCGATATCACCGACGGGACGAAGTACGCGACGAGCTTGGAGTCCGGAGACCAGAAGAAGGCGAACACGCCGTCCTCTTCGAGGTCGCCTCGGCCCCGGTCGCGACGTCGCGCAGATGCAGCCGGCTGACGATCGATTCGACCTCCTGGCGGCGGGTGATGTAGCCGAGCGACGCGCCGTCCGGCGACCAAAGGAAGGTCACCGCGCCGCGGGCGCTGGCGATCACGTCGGGAGGATGGTCCCGCCGCTCCGGATGGGTGATGACCACGTCGGTCAGACCGCCGTCGGCGATGGTGGCCAGCACCACGCCCGAGCCGTCCGGCGACCATGCCGGGGTCTGAAACTCTCCCGGCTGCAGCGGCAGGCCGCTCTCGATCACGGTCGCGCCTACCTCCAGGAACGATACGCGGCGGCCGGACGTGCGCACCGAACCGGCATGCACGGTCACACCGGTGCTGTCGGGCGCCCATCCCCAGAACAGAGGCCGGCCGGCGTCCAGGGTCTGCACCGGCGTGGCGCTGGCCGGCTGCCAGCTCAGCAGCAGGAAGCCGCCTCCGCCTGCGCCGGCCGTGAGGAAGCTGATTTTGCGGCTGTCCGGCGACCAGTAGAGATTGGCCGGCAGCCGTCCGCCGGTGGAGATGGCCTGCGCATCGGTGCCGTCCGCGCGGGCGGTGAGCACCCGACCGGAGGTCCGGCCCTGGAAGGAGTCGATCCCCACGAACGCCACCCGGGAGCCGTCCGGTGACCAGATCGGGGTCTGATAGATGCGCGTGGCGTTCTGCGACTGGCCGGGGGGGGGGGGGCGTCGGCGGGTGATCTGCTGTTGGCGCACGCCGCCTCCTATTCAACACCCATATGTTGGCAAGTAAAGTAGACGATCTTCCCGGACTTCCGCTCAAAAGTGCCCATCAGCGAGGTCTGCTCGCTGGTATCGGGCAGCCGGCAGCTCAGCACCAGCGCCGCCACGATCAAGCCGGCGATCAGGAGCGCGCCGCGAGCGGTCACCCTTCGGCCCATGTTCGCCTACCACCCGAGCACACCTGCAAAAAAGCACCTAAAACAACAAGACACAACCAACAAAACAAATCACCTTTCCGCGCCGCAGCACGGAAACCGCCGTGTTGCGAACCGGATCGGTCCGTTCCGAGACTTGGTCCCAGTCCAGCGATGCCGGCACGTCCGGACGCACGCCGTCTATGCCGACCTCAAGGCCGGCAGGTGACAGGTAGGCGCTGGTCATGATGGTCAGCCGGGAGCCGTCAGGGAGGACGAAATCGACGAAGCTCTCCACGTTGCCGGGCGTCTTGAGGCCCACCACGGTGGCGCGCCGGCGTGCCTGCAGTGCAGCGGCGAGGACCTCCGGCAGCCCCTCGGTATCACGCGTCGATCAGAACACCAGTCGGCATCGTCTGCAGCCGTTCAGGTCCTAGACTCCTGTCGAGCTGCTTTGCGTGTGGTGCAACCCTGCGTGCGGTGTGTTGAGATCGCGCCGTGGTCGCCATCGGAGAACAGCGACAGCAGCGGCACCAGGGGCCACCGCAGCCCGCTGGCGATACGCAGATCCAGGATGATGCCGCTCACGTCCCCGCCAGCCAACAGTGCCTCGAGACTGCGTACCGTCTCTGTCACCAGATTCTCGGAGGAGACTCGGGGAAACAGCAGATAGCCGACGCTGCCGGGCTCCAGCCGGCCGTAGCTGAGCGGGTTCAGCACCTCGGAGAGCTGTACGCGGCCGCGTATCACGATCACGTCGCGCTGGTCACGGTCGAACGAGCTGACACGCAGGCGCACCGGCTGGTCAGCCGGTCCGCGGATGCGCGAAACCGCATCCGGGCCCTCCTCGCGCCGCACCGGAATGCCGTTGACCGCGATCACCGCGTCGTGGGGGCGCAGTCCCGACCGATCCGCGGGCGAGCCGGGCATCACGGACAGCAGGATGATGCGGGGCGTAGGCTCTTCGCGAAAGGCGACATAGGCGCCGATCCCTTCGTACGCGGAGGGGTCCTCCAGCTCTTCCCGGATGCGCTCGTTGCGTGTCTCCCAGCGCGCGGCGAGCGGCGGCAATTCGTCCAGCATCTGCCGCACCGTGTCGGGGAAGTCCTCCCGCGACAGGAGGTTCACCACCAGGGGCCGATAGCGTTCGCGCAACTCGGTCCAGGCGATGCCGTGCAAATTGCCGTAGACGTAGTGGTCCCGCAGCAGCGTCCACATCTCGTCGAAGGTGCGGATCTGCAGGGAAGTGATCTGTTCCCGCTGGTCCGCAGGCTCCTGCGTGGCCGCGAAGTCGACAGCGTCCGCGGATTCACGGGTACATGCGGAGACGATCAGCAGCGCGGCCATCACCAGCGCGACGGGGCCGATGACCGCCGGCGCGTTCCACAGCCGGGGTCGCATGGGGAACCGCTACCCTATCACGGCTGCCGCCGCCCGGTCCCGAGATTCATTGACAGCTCAGAAATGCGGTCGATATATTGCCTCCCTGCGCATGCGCACAAGTCTGAGTTCCCGCCTGATCGATGTGTTGCGCAACGTCACCACGCGCAAACAGCTCACCGAACGAAACATCCGCGACGCCGTTACCGAGATCAAGAACGCGCTACTCGAAGCCGACGTGAATGTGCGGGTCGTGCGCCGCTTCGTCAACCGGACGGTGGAGGAGGCGGTCGGCGACCGGCGCGTGTCGGGGGTGTCGGCCGCCGATCAGTTCACCCGCACGGTCCACCAACGCCTTACGGAGATGCTCGGCGGCGACGACGTCGCCCTTGACCTGCGCGGCCTGCGGTCGCCGGCGAAGATCCTCATGGTAGGGCTGCAGGTTCCGGCAAGACCACCACCGCGGCCAAGCTGGCCCGCAGGCTGACCGTCGACGGCCGCAGACCGTTGTTGATCGCCGCCGATCGCGCGCGACCGGCCGCGGTTGAGCAGTTGGCGCTGCTCGGCCGCACGATCGGGGTCGACGTCTTTACCGCCGCCGGCCTCCGTGGAGCGGAGGGGGCGGCCAAGGTGACCAGAGAGGGGCTCGAGCACGCGCGGCGGAGCGGTCATGACGTGGTGATCGTCGACACCTCGGGCCGTAGTCAGGCCGACGACGCGCTGATGCGGGAGCTGGAGCAGGTGCGGTCGGTTCATACTCCCCTACCTCACCCTTTCTGTCCCTATTCATTACTTTGCAGCCGCTGCGACGGTCGCCCGCGGCTTCGAGGAACGTATCGGCATCACCGGCGTCATTCTGTCCAAGACCGACTCGGACGCCCGCGGCGGAGCGGCCCTGTCGATGAAGGGCGTCACCGGCAAGCCGGTGTGCTTCATCGGTACCGGGGAGCGACTGGAGGATCTGGAGCCGTTTCACCCGGAACGCTTCGCCGGGCAGATACTGGGCATGGGCGACGTCGCCAGCCTGGTGGAGAAGGCCGAACTGGTGATCGACCAGCAGCAGGCGGAGCGGACGCTGCGGCGCGTGCGCTCGAACACGCTGACGCTGGCGGACTACCTGGAGCAGATCCGCGGCCTGCGCAAGATGGGGAATCTGGAGGCGCTGATCGACAAGATCCCGGGCGCACGCGCGGCGATGGCAGAGGGCGCGATCGACGAAGGGGTACTGCGCACCGAAGAGGCTATGATATTGTCGATGACCCCGGCCGAACGGGAGAATCATCGGATCATGGGCCCGTCGCGGCGGCGCAGGGTAGCGCGTGGAAGCGGCACGACCGTGTTGGCGGTCAGCCGCTTCCTGAAGAAATTCGACAAGATGTCGGCGACCATGCGGAAGATGGCTCGAGGCGGCGCCGGTAGCGGATTGAAACCCGCCCGCACCGCTCGCGCCGTCCGACCGTTCGGCCGCTGACCCCGATACCACACAGGAGCGAACAGATGAGCGTAGCGATTCGGCTCAAGCGACATGGCACGAGGAACCGTCCGTTCTACCGAATTGTCGTGATGGACTCGCGGCGACCGCGCGACGGCAGGGTTATCGAAGAGGTGGGCCGCTATCAGCCGACCGAGCCCGAAGGCGCGCAGGCGACCGTGGACGAGGTGCGCGTACGCGAATGGATCGGCAAGGGCGCTCGGCCTTCGCCGACCGTGCGCCGCATCCTCAACAGACAGGCCCGCGGCGAGGAAGGACAGGCCCGCGGCGAGGACGGAGAGGGACAGGCGTCCGCGTCCGAGCAGTAACCGCGTCCGAGCAGCAACCGCGTCCGAGGAGTGAACGGTGGAGGTGAACGATGGAAAAGGAGCTGGTCGAGTTCGTCGCTCGCGCCCTGGTAGACGAACCTGACAGCGTCGAGGTCACCGTGGTCGAAGGCGAAAAATCGACCATAGTGGAACTGAAGGTCGCGGACGGCGACCTGGGCAGGGTCATCGGCAAGCAGGGGCGGATCGCCAAGGCGATCCGCACCATCCTCAGCGCCGCCGGCACCAGAGCGAGGAACGGGGCGTCGCTCGTAGAGTCATCGTAGACTGAGCACCATCGAGCGGGGCGTAGCGCCGCTCGGAGCGGTGCGGCCGCTTAGCGCGCCTAGCGCGACAGCAGGAGGCCAACAGGATCGCGCTACACATCCTATCCGGCGGGCGCACGGCTTGCACGGCTTCGTGCGCTTCGAGAGCCTCTCCGGAGAGATCGACCACTTCCCGTCGATGCGGGAGGTAGAGCTGCGTGGCCGCGGACAGCCGGCGCGGCGCTACGAGGTGGAGTCGTTCCGGCTGGGCGCGCCGACGCTGCTGTATGATGCTGCGGCTAGGCGATCGATGACCGTATGACGCCGCCCTACGGAGCGCGACGCTGGCGACCGGGAGAATCTGGGTGAGCCGTACCGCCATGCGGTCGAACCGTTAGTCTAGACCCTGAAGAGTACTATCTGGCTCGACCTGGAAGGCTGTGAGGTGCACCAGGATGGCCGAACCGCGTCAGCGCGAGTCGCGCGCGTGCTGGAGGCGGTGTCATATTGATGCGAGGCGTGTTGTGCTGGAAGCGGTCGGTGCGGACGGCCGCACCGTGCTGATCCCGTTTCGCCGCCAGTACGTCCGCTCCATCGATGTCGACACTGGGATCATCGAGCTTGCCAGCGACGCGGTCGTGGAATGACGTTCACGGTGTTGACGCTCTTTCCGGAGCTGTTGGCTCCCTTCGTGGCGACATCGATCATCGGCCGGGCCGTCGACCGCGGCCTGATCGACATCGAGACCGTCGACATCCGCGACTACGCCGATGATCCGCACAACACGTGCGACGACAGTCCGTATGGAGGCGGCGCCGGGATGGTGCTGAAGGCGGAGCCGGTCAGCCACGCGATCGAATCGGTGCTGAGACGGCGCTCGTCCAGGCCGCGCACCGTCTATCTGACGGCGGGCGGCGCACCGTTCGATCGGCACCTCGCGCGGCGCTGGGCGGCGGAGGGACGGGAGCTGCTGCTGATCGCAGGCCGCTACGAGGGGGTCGACCAGCGCGTCGTCGATATGTTCGTGGACGACGAGGTGTCGATCGGCGACTACGTGCTGATCGGCGGCGAAGTGGCCGCGATGGCGGTACATGGATGTAGCGGTTGCGACGCCGCTTGTGACCGATGATCACCAGGCGCGCCTCAGCTGGTACGCGGAAGCGTGTATCGAGGGCGACGGCGTCTCGAGGATCCCTCATCAGATACAACATCATCGAACCTGCGCGCTATCTTCCGCGGGTGCAGTGCCGGATGTGCCACGGTACTGCTGTACTACGCGGGGTCTGTCGGGGCACCACGCACGGATCAGGGAGTGGCGTCGTCGGCAGGCGACCGAGCGAACGGCTCGCCTGCGACCGGACTTACTACGAAGGAGCGAAGGATGCAGCAACTGATACAGGAGATCGAAGCCGAACAGACGCGGTCTCATGCGACGGAGTTCGGTATCGGCGACTCGTGTGCGGATCCACTTCAAGATCATCGAAGGCAAGACCGAGCGGACACAGCTGTTCGAAGGCATCTGCATCGCCCGCAAGGGATCGGGGAGCAGCTCGACCTTCACGGTCCGCAAGATCTCGTACGGCGTCGGCGTCGAGCGCGTATTCCCGCTGCACTCGCCGAAGATCGGCAGAATCGAGGTCTCGCGCCGGGGCCGCGTGCGCCGCGCGAAGCTCTTCTACCTGCGCGATCGGGTGGGCAAGGCCGCCAAGGTGCCGGAGCGCCGGGTCCGCAAGCGCTAGGAGTCCTTCGGATTGGCGCGCCAGCGGCGATCCGAAAAACTCCTGGCGGAGGTGGAGATGGGCCACAGGCGAAGCCGGAGGCGGCAAAGCGAAAGCGCGAAACCCGCGCTTTGTTGTTGACGATACTGTATGCAGACATCGGATGTACCGATGAACGGCTCGGAGCGGACACCCGCGCCGAGCCGAAGCGATCGACAGGACCGGCTGAACAGTGTTCAAAAAGGCAGAATCGGTGAACGACATGCCGCTGCGTACCTCCGGGAGCGCGGCTACCACGTCGTCGAGCGAAACCTCCGCATGCGTGCTGGGGAGATTGATCTCGTCGCCTGCCGGGGCGACCGTGTCGTGTTCGTGGAAGTCAAGGCATGGAGCAGCTTCGGCGCCTCCGACCTGGCGGCGGTCGTGAACGGCCGAAAGCGTTCGCGGATCGCTCGCGCGGCGGCGGCGTTCCCTGGCCGCCAACCCGCGCTATGGCCGACTGCGGCCCCGTTTCGACGTCCTGCTGCTGCGTACCGGGCAGGCACCGCTGCACCTGGAGTCGGCGTTCGGCGCCGACGGCGTGCCGCTGTGACGCCGTCCCGCAGGCGGCGCCTCGGCGTTCTGCATCGCATGGGACGGGCCTTCCCGATCGCGTGGCGTCGCTCGCCGGTACGGCGCCGTCCTCTCGGATCTGCCCTGATCAGGGAAGGGCTCGTGCAGCGTCCTGCCAGACGGCGGCCGGCGGTGCGCGACGCGTACCGGGCGCAGGCGCGGCACGCCGAGTTGCGCAGCAAGATCGGCGACCGGCGTTACCTGGAGCGCGCCATCCGCTATCTGGCGCAGATCCTGATCGACGGCCCGTCGCGCAGACCTCGCCGGTGAGTGGTCTCGCTCCGCTCTGCCCACTCTGCTCGGAGTCCGTGGACGATCTGCTGCTTGCGCTGGTCCACCCGGACACCGAGGCCCCTGCCCACTTTGAGTGCGTGTTGCGCGCGATCCGTGAGGACGAGCAGCTCGAGCCCGGGGAGCAGATCTGCTACGTGGGCGGCGGCGTGTTCGCGATCGTGCGCGCGGGCCGCGGGCGTGACAGCGCCCGCATCCGCAAGCGTATCCCCTATGAGTCGGAGAGCATGCCGCCGGAATGGCGCACCGAACAGGTCCGCCGCCTGCCGAATCCGTGACGATGCCTCGCTCTTCGGACTTGGCACAATCGGGCTGACTCGGCGTTGACAACCATGTGCCGTTCGCAATAGCTTCCCGGACACAGGACTGAGATGGCTGTTCCCGCGCGAAAGACCTCCAAAGCCCGCAGCCGGCGGCGTCGCGCCGTCAACATGCGGGTGAAGGCACCGTCTATCGTGGAATGCGGCACCTGCGGCAATCGGGTCCTGCTGCACCGGGTGTGTCCCAAGTGCGGGCACTATCGCGGAAAGCGGGTGCTGGAAACGGCGGAGATCGCCTGACACCGAACCGCTCCCTGGAGGCGATGCGAACATGGATGCTGAACTCTTCGACAAAATGAAGAAACTGATCGCGGATCGACTCGAGATCGAGGAGGACAAGATCACCCTCGAGTCCTCGTTCCGACAGGATCTCGGTGCCGACAGCCTGGACACCTACGAGCTCGTCTACGCGATCGAGGAAGAACTCGGCATCACCATCCCCGATGAGAAGGCGAACGAGTTCGAAACCGTAAAGGACGCGCTGGCCTACATCGAGTCGCACGGCAAGTAGCCGCGACCGGCGGGGTATGCCCCGTGGTTCCCGTGATCGTCCGACTTCGGCGTAGCCTCACGGGCCGGAGTTGATGGGCCATAGGCTCGTACCGGCGTTTGGCGATGGTCTCAAGGCGCTGCGCGGACAGTGGCGGCTCACCCGCCGTACGGTCGGGGCGAGCGCGGAGCTCAGACCGGTAACGTCGGCGCGTCGCGCCGAGCTCCGCTCCCTGCAGCGCCGCATGGGCGTTCGTTTTCGTGACGAGCGTCTCATGAACATGTCGTTCTGCCACCGCTCCTATACGGCTGAGGCCGGTGCGGCAAGCAACGAGAGGCTCGAGTTTCTCGGTGACGCGGTGCTGGGACTGGTTGTCAGTCAGTGGCTGTACCGCAGGCTGGACGGGCGGCCGGAGGGGGATCTTGCGCGCGTCAAATCGGTCGTGGTGAGCGAGGAGAGCCTGGCACGCATCGCCAGACAGATCGCCGTCGACCGGTATCTGCTGCTAGGCCGTGGCGAAGAGCGGTCGGGAGGACGCGGCAAGAACGCACTGCTGGCGGACGCGCTGGAGGCGCTCATCGGCGCCTGCTATCTGGACTCCGGCCTGCACGCAGCGGAGCGATTCGTGGAGCAGGTCTTCGCCGAGGAGATCGAGGACGTGATCGCCGGACGCCACCGTCAGGACTACAAGACGCTGTTGCAGGAGCTCTCCCAGAAGCGTTTTCGAGCCTTTCCCAAGTACCGGGTCGCCGAACGGCGGGGACCCGACCATGATCGGGTCTTCTCGATGGACGTGGTGGTCGACGGCCGGCCGTATGAGCCCTGCGCAGGAAGAGCAAGAAGCAGGCCGAGCAGCGCGTCGCGCGATCGCCTACTCGGAGCTCGTCGGTGAGGAGTCCCGCCTCCGGCGGATCGGCCGCAGCCGGCTGAAGCGCCCCGGGCTGTCTCCAGCATGCCGCGTGCGATCGTTGGCGGACGGATCGGCGAGCACCTCCCGCAGCAGGGCGTTTCAGCAGCAGCCCGACTCTGCGGCCCGGGTCGCAGGCCCAATTCGCGCTGCAGGTCCGTGGCCGCCGACGGCAAGCTCGCGATCGAGAGCGCGTGGGAGGCCGGGCCGCCTGGGCGCGCATGCGCTGGGCAAGCGGTACGTCGATGGTGCCGATGGCCTGGCGGACGGCGATGGCGTCCGCGGTGCCGTCACGACCGATGGCGGACAGCAGCCGGCGGATGTCGGCGTCGGAACTGTCCGCGGCGATCGGGATCGCCAAGCTGGCGATGGCGGCGACCACCCGATGGATTGCGGCGTTCGGAAAGCGCAGGCGGGACAGCGCCGCCCGTGCGCGTACGGCAGCAGCCGGTGCGTCCGTGGCTGCCTCCGGCGCCAGCAGCATCGCCAGACGGCACGCCACGTCGGCGGGTGTCGAGTCGATGCGGTCGTATCGCGCAGCGCGGTCCGTGCTGGGGCCGGGTTCCGTGCCGCCCGGCGCGGGGAAGCACAGCCCCATCAGCCGGGACCGCTCGAGCAGGCGCAGGCCCACCGACGGCGTCGGCGACGCCAGCAGGCGTCGCAGCTCCTCGCAGATCCGCTCGGCGGCGACCCGGCGTGCGGTAGGCACGGCGTCCCGCATCGCCCGCACCGTGTGGGCGTCGACCGTGAGGTTCAGCTCCGCCGCGAGCCGACAGCCCCGAAACGGCCGCAGCCCGTCCTCGGCAAAGCGCTCCGGCGCGCTGCCCACGGTGCGCAGGCGCCGCGCTGTCAGATCGGCACGCCCGCCGTGCGGATCGCGCAGGGCGCCGCTATCAAGATCGACGGCGATCGCGTTGATCGTGAAGTCACGCCGTGCCAAGTCTTCTTCGATGGTGCCGGCGAAGCGGACCGAGTCCGGGCGGCGCCCGTCGGAATAGCCGGAGTCCGTGCGGAAGGTGGTGACCTCGAATCGTGTGCGCCCGAACAGCACGGTCACCGTGCCGTGGCGGATACCGGTAGGTATGGTCCGACGGTAGAGACTCTGCACGCGGCCGGGCGTGGCGTCGGTGGCGATGTCCCAGTCACCGGGGGGGCGTCCCCTGCAGGAGGTTGCGGACGGCGCCTCCGACCAAGTGGGCGGCGTACCCGGCGTCGATCAGAACGCGGGCGAAGCCGCGCACGGTGCCGGGCACCGATTCGATGGGCGATTCCTGCACGTCGTCCGATCCCAATGCGAAGGCGTCCCTCAGGGTACCGGAAACCGGCCCGAAGCGGAGAGCCGTACGTCCCGCCGGGTCATGGCGCTTGCGGGCGCCGTGTGGGTATGCTCGGCACTCCAGAATGTCGGTGACCGGTCTGCTCCTCACCGGTGGTTACGGCCCCGGCCGCTCCGACCTCGAGCCGTTCCTGGGCGAGGTGGGGCCGATCGTCGCCGCCGACTCCGGCTTCGACCTGGCGCTGGCTCTGGGGCTGCGTCCGGAGTTGATCGTCGGCGACATGGATTCGGTGCGCGCCCGGCTGCCGCAAGAGCGGGTACGCCGCTTCCCACGTGACAAGGAGTTCACCGACACCGAGCTCGGCCTGCAGGCGCTCAAGGATCTCGGCTGCGATCGGGTGGTGATCGCCGGCGGCGGCGGCGGCCGTCTGGACCATCTGCTGTTCATCGTCGCGCTGTTCGAGCGGGAGACCGTGCCGTTGTGCTGGATCACCGCGCACGAGCACGTGGAGGCGATCCGCGGCACGGCCGCCTATCGCGGCTGGGTGGGGCAGACGGTGTCCTTTCTCCCGCTGTCGCAGGGGGCGGCGATCGAGCGCTCGGAAGGGCTGCGCTGGCCGCTGGACGGGCTGCGCTGAAAAGCCTGGAGAGAGGCGCGTCAGCACGTCATCACCACGCCTCATCTAGCTGTTGACATGGCAGAGCGGCGCCCTGTTGATGATCCGGTCGTTCGACCGTCACGAGGTCGCTGCTCCGCCGGAAGACCGTAGAGCACCGCCAGCCGCGTTGCCGGGCTGATCGCGGTCACGGACTTGGTGGCTGCGACTGAAGCGTACGCGGATCCGGCGCAGCGACTACCGGTACCCCTCCCAGCACCTGAGTGAGCAGATCGGACGGTGAGCGGCTCAGCAGGTTCACCAGCTCGGGGAAATCGGCGAGGGTGCGGCCCAGCGTGGCGAGCGACTCGGCGTGCTGGGCCGCCTGCTCCCGCATCGACGCCAGGTTTTCCAGGACCGCCAACCGAGCCTGTTGCTGCGCATCGACGCGCGCCGTGAACGCGGCCTTCGCGCGCACGTACAGGTCCGGATCAGGAATCGAAAAGGGCGTAAGCTCGACGTCGATGACCTCGAATTCGGGATGCCGCATTTCCAGCATGCGCCGGACGTGTTCCTCCAGCGCCGGGGGGTCCATCACCAGGGCGGCGGCATCCCGCGACAACAGCGCGGCGGTCGCCGCGTCGCCCGCGGAGGCGGTCGCCTGATCGTACCAGGCCGGCAGCGTGTCCGGGCGCAGATCCTTCTCCGCGACCAGCGGCTGCAGGTGGTCCACGCGAAGCCTGAGCCGGAGAGTGATGCCGAGGTCGAAGGAGAGCGCCGCGGCATCGATGCCGATCTCCGCTGCGTAGAGCTCGCCGACGGCAGGCGCGCGGCCAAGCGGCGCGGCACCACCTGCCGGGTCAGATCGAACAGATGCAGGGTCATGTTGGTCGGGATCAGCCGCTCCCATCGCCACGTGATGCCGCCGGCGGCGATGACCTCCTCGTCCCATCCGCCCGACTTGGTAAAGGCCACGGCGTAGCTGCCGGCCGGCAGGGCCAGTTCCACCCATCCGACGAAGAACGCGGCGGCCGCCGCCAGGATCAGCAGCAGGGTGATGGCGATCTTCATGTCACCCAGTATATCGTGGCGCAGATCCCGTGACGGAGGTGCAGCTTGGGCCCGAGCGGCGGACCATCGCTCCGGCGATCGGCCGGATCTCCGCCGTACTGTTCTTCGTTTCGCTATTGCTGCTGTCCCTGTCCGTCCTGGGCAGCGCGCAGTCGTTCCTGGATGCGACCCTGGTGTGGCTGCTCCGCCTGCTGGAGGTCGCGCTGGTGCTGACCGCATCCTTCGCGTTGTGCTCGTGCTGTCTGTTTGCCCTGCATGCGACTTCCGGGCGCTGGCGCTTCGCCGTCTTCCCGACCGTCCTTTCGCTCCTGGCTGCCGCCACCGCGCTCGCTCTCCTGGCTTCATTGCGCATGATGTCGGCCGTGCTCGGCGGGTCGCCGCCACCCGGCCTGAGCTTCTGAACGCCGTGACGGTAGCGGTGCGGGGCGCCATTCAGGTGAGCTCCAACGACGCCGATGCGATTCGAACGGCCGGCCTGCGGCTGCTGGAGGCCGTGCTTGGCAGCAACGAGGTGGTTTGTGACGACATCGTCAGCATCATCTTTTCGATCACCCCGGACCTGACCCGCGCCAATCCAGCGACCGCGGCTCGCGCTGCCGGCTACGCGGAGACGCCGCTGTTCTGCGTCCAGGAGGCCGTCGTGGACGGTCAGCCGGACCGGATCATCCGGATGCTGCTGACCTATCGCAGCGGCACCGATCGAAAGCCGGTGCCGGTCTATCTGGATGGGGCGCAGGTGCTCCGGCCGGACCTGCCGCCGCCGAGCCCGTGACCTGCCCAGACTCCTCATGGTAGGAGAGACGCACCGCCACCTTAGCTCAATCGGTAGAGCACGAGATTTGTAATCTCGAGGTCGTCGGTTCAATCCCGACAGGTGGCTGACCCCGCTGCGGGCGGACTCAGAGCGCGCGCGGCGGTATTGACATCGGTCAACGGCTGCGCGAGCATGCGCTGCTCCGACAGCGGGGAGGTTCCCGAGTGGCCAAAGGGGGCAGACTGTAAATCTGTTGGCGTTGCCTTCGAAGGTTCGAATCCTTCTCTCCCCATTGCCCCGTGCCTGAGCCGTTTTACCGGTCGTCCGCCGACGGCGGACTGCGCTTCGACTGCACCCGCTGCCAGCGCTGCTGTCGACTCGAACCAGGGTATGTGTTCCTTTGTCGCAGCGTGACCTGGAGTCCTTGGCACAGGCGAAGGCGCTTTCTGTCGCCGAGTTCACGTCGCGCTACTGCCGGATGGTGGACGTCGGCGGCTTTCGCCGGCTCAGCCTGACGGAGAAGGCCAACTTCGACTGCACCCTCTGGGAAGACGGTGCATGCACGGTGTACGAGTCGCGGCCGCTGCAGTGCCGCAGCTTCCCGTTCTGGGATGCGAATCTGGCTTCCCCCGACGCATGGTCGGAGGCGGCCGGATCCTGCCCGGGCATCGGTCAGGGGCCGGTGCGCCACGCGGTGGAGATCGACTACTGGCTCTCGCGGCGTCACGAGGAGCCGCTGATCTAGCGCCCCGAGGTTGCGGCGCCACGGGCGCCGTAACCTCGGCCCAGCCCCTCCTTTGGCGTGAAGCGCATCGGTCCCCGATGCGCTTCACGCCGGACACGGGTAATCCCGTCGAATTCCACTCGAAGGCGGCCACTTTCGTTTCTGCCGTTGAAGGGTTTACATTTGCTCCTGCTGGGGGTGTTGGGTATCGCGTGAAACGCATCGCGATCGGGGTGGGGCTCGCGTGTGGGGTGCTCGTCGCCGGTGTGGCGGTAGCGGCGTCGTACCTGAGCGGTCCTCCGCAGGAGCGGGGAGCCGGTCCGCCGGTCACCTTCACGGTCCATCCCGGGGAGCCGTTCGGGGCGGTGGCCGCCCGGCTGGCCGACCAGCGGTTGGTGCGCTCCGAGCTGGTGCTGCGGATAGTGGCCCACCTCCAGGGCGCCGACATCCGCATCCGTGCCGGTCACTACTCGTTTGCCCCTTCACTACGCGCCCGTCAGGTACTGGCGCTGCTGCTGGAGGGCCGTCAGGAAGAGGTCACCGTCACGTTCCCGGAGGGATGGACCGTGCGGCGGATCGCCGAACGGCTCGAGGAACGGGGTGTGACGACCGCGGGGGCGTTCACGGCGGCGGTCGCCGACCCGGCGCTGACCGAGGAGTTCGGCATCCGGGCGGCCAGCATGGAGGGGTACCTGTTTCCGGACACGTATCGCTTCCCGCGCGACTACCCGGCCGCCGACGTGGTGCGGAGCCTGGTCGGCAATTTCTTCCGGCGGCTCGCCCAGGTGCGGCCGGACTTCGAGAGCATCGATCCGGACAAACTGCACGACACGATCATCCTGGCCTCGATCGTGGAACGCGAGTACCAGCGCCCCGAGGAAGCCGGGCTGATCGCTTCGGTGTTCGTCAACCGCTTGGCGGCGGATGCCGGCCTGCAGTCCTGCGCCACCGTCGCCTACGTGCTGACCGAGGTGCAGGGCAGGGAGCACCCGCGCGTGATCACCCATGCGGAGCTGGAGGTCGACTCCGCCTACAACACCTACAAGTGGCGCGGGCTTCCTCCAGCGCCGATCTCGAATCCGGGGGCGGTGGCCCTGCAGGCGGCGTTCTTTCCTGAGGAAAGCGACTACTGGTACTTCGTTCTCAAGGACCGGACACAGGCGGGCA